GCTGTGATGAGAGAACTACATGTACATGTCATTCTGAGGGATTTTGAGGAAATAGATTTCGCCATCAGATTTCATAAGGAAATTGTGTAGATTGCCAATCCATTTTGTTCGGGGGGGGGCATCTATTTGTCCACATGTAGCTGTGGGGTAGACAGCCACATTCATTTAAAGGTGTGCAGTATATTTTTGGCCTTGGAGAAACCAGAGAATGATTCTGCTAAACTGGAAAGTCAGGCTGTCTCCATGTAACTTGTGTACCACTGGTGCCGACGGTATGTACATGTACAGGTATGTGCCATATAGGCTACATACATGTACATGTCCACGGACGTACAGTAGCTCTTTTCACGAAATGTATGACATCCCACTCTGTGTCAGTGTTGTACCTTCATGTACACACAGTCAAGTTCATTACAAGTCCCCACAAGTCCATGACAAGTCTTAAGCAGAGTCACAGACTATTCCAATTTCCATTGAACTGTGAGGCGGCATTCCTTTTGCACCGCTCACCTTTGTCTTGTAGGGCTTATGACTCGTCTTGTGAAATAATTTGTGACTGGAGTTGTAAAGGGACTTGACAGCTCTGTGACATGTCTAGAAACTGTGCGTGCACACTGCGTGTATATGTAGTAACTTTTACATGTACACGTACATGTACATTCACGCTCGAGAATTTCTGCTTTGGCAAAGTGACCTTTTTATCTCCTAATCACATGTAAGTTTGTGCCCAGAGAAAAGTAGTCCGCATTTCAACCAATTTTAATGGGCAGTGCGTCAGTAATTTTTTTTAGTATTGGGTGAAAAAGACATGTGAAAAGGTGATTTGAAAAAAATGGCTCAACTTTGAAGGATTTTCCGAGTCATATTTCTGTAGCTGCATAGGCAGATGCTCAAAAACAGTATCTAATCCTGAAATGACTACTGTGCAGTTACATGCAGATTGGATACAATGTAGACAGTATTGTGATACAGTGTAATACAAATTACTGTACAGAAGCTAGCTGACAAGACTTTGTTACATTTTAAACACCTCCCGGACTGCCACCCAAGTAAATGCACAGAAGCTGCAACAGGAGCCCTCTGGTGGTTTCCCTCCAACTTTTATTGTCCAATTAAATTGAATTAGTAACTACACTGTACACAATCCTGGGTGTTGTGGGACTTCAAGGGGATTTAGGGACAGGTGGTGTTTACCTTCCCTGCAAGATATTTGTACACTGTACACTCAGACCAAGGGAGGGCCTCCTGTGTTTATCAGTCTGAGGAATGTGGCACATTTGGTTGTGCTTGTATTTCATGTAGCATTCAGTGATAATGAGGTGAAGTGAGATCAAAGTGCATGGACAGTTACATGTAGACCCAAGAGACTATTCACTGTTCACACAAGCTACATGTACAGTACATGTACATAGATATGTACCTGTACATGTGTGATAAACATTGCATGTACATGCGTAGTACATGTACATGTACACCATGTGCACAATCCCCACATGTACATGTACAGTAGAAACACAACCTTTGCCCATAAAACCCTCCCTTTGCCAGCCAGACAGAAGTACATGTACAGTGATGCATGACTTGTTTGATAGCACATAGGCCTATATATACATGTACATGTACTGTACATGTACATTTGTACTGTAAGTATACATTTTATGGCAAATTGTGCTGCATTGATCAGGTCATTATGAAAGCATTAGTCTTTTTGGAGGCAAAACCAGATTTTCCGGAAGCATGGAAAAAGCAAGTTTGCCAAGAGAAGGTACCGGTATCACTGCACAGTTTACATGTACATTGTATTGAAGCATTCTGCAAATTACATCACATGTACATGTGCACTGTACCCGTCCATATTGGTACGTGTACATCTACATGTAACTTTCTCAACTGGTACATATAGGGCATGTATAATATGAGGACCTGGGGCCAATAAGCCATTTGCGAGTTAAATATGAATAAAATCTGGTGCACTGAGTTATCTGACTGCACATGAATATAACAATTTGAATTCCTCAGACTAAAGACACTGTTGCTATACCTCGTGATTTGGGGCAAGCTTTTGCATAGCGACCTCCATCTCTGGAATAGACTGGCTCCTTTGTGCCCTTCTTAACCATTGAGAACAGTGTATTGTTGCAAGGCGTCTCTTATGTAACTAAGCAAAAGCTTGCCAGAATCACGAGGTATAGCATCAGTGGTTTTAGTAAGCAGAATTCAAGTTGTTATGTTCACGTGAATTTAAAGAACTCGGTGTACCAGATTTGGGTCAAAGTTAACTCGCAAAAAGCCAATTTCATAGAGCTGCTTAAGCACAAAATTTGCTTAAGCGTGAAAAAAACCTTGCTCGACAAATCAGTATACCAGCCAAAACTCCATGTGATGTATGTTGTTTTGGACTGGTATTCACCTGTCTTTTGGTAAGCATGACAAAAGCAAGAATTTTTGCGCTCAAGCAAATTATGTATCTAAGCAGCTCTATGAAATTGGCCCCTTGCTACTGAGCCCTGGAAATCTTGAATCTTTCAGTTCAGATGCAACTTTACTCAAACGCAGTGTACATTTACATGTATATTGTGCATGTTAAACATGTTAAATGCACAGTACATATTGTAATTTGTATACGTACTCGTATACTGTATATATGCTTACTGTGCATACTGTGCACATGTACACATGTACAGTACATGTACATACATGTATAGGCCTACATAATATACTATGCTGTGCAGGTGCATAAATCTATTATCATGTATCCATACGTCATGTACGTGTGTACAAATGTACATATACATTGCACATTTCCATGTGTTGTACATATTGGGTATGTTCCATACTTTGTACTCTACAGTAAAGATATCAGTGCATACATGTCGTGCACATGCATGTGAAATGTCTAAGTGGACAGCAGACATGTACATGTACATGTAGGCCTATTTTCAGTTGGGAAAACAAAATTCACCATATGTGTGAAACTCGATTGCTTGTATTAAACCTGAGCAAAGACAAGATTGGTTGATTTGCTCCCCGGTGCTTCCCCTGAAGTTTCGGAAACTGTTAAGGGGAAATGGAGGGGAAACCTGCAGTCTGCCAAATGATTGCGACCCAGGTCTGCCCCATTTTGCTCACCATTCACCATCTCCACGGTTGAGTGAAGTTGCTGACACTGCTGTACACTGTGCAAACATGTACATGTAGGGTATGGTGTACATGTGTAGACGTGCATGTATGTCAGTGTATGTAGTAAACAGAGCATACTCTACATTTGTAAGTGCAGTAACCAGACTGACGGGCGGCAGCACTGTGTCTGGATTATCCGTCTGTTGGCCGTGTTTTCTTTCCGATATTTTGGCAAGTGAGAATTTATGAGCTGTCTACCAGTGCATTTCACCACGTTGTTTTAAAAGCCGGAAATTTTGGAAATGGGGTTTAGGGGTACAGTGTGCATGTATCAATTAATGCAGGTTGCCCAGCTTGGGTCTATCAAAGGTAGTGTGAAGCATTACACCTAGGGGTTGTCACTTTTTTTTTATCGTTTTCACAGCACACAATATAGTGCTTTCCTCTAAAACCTTCCTCGTGAAGAGAGTGCACGAAAATGGTGGTCATTTGGTACTTGTAATACAGTTTATGAATGTGCAGCCGTGGAGATCCGATGGCAGCTCAAACGAGAATGCCGGCAATAGGCTTTGCTCGAGTCGGGCCGACCATTTGAGTGGTTGATGGACACAAAAGAAAGAAGGCTATTTAAGTTCTCGATATGTTTTGATGGTTCGTGAGAACAGGCCCTCCCCCCTTTCCAAGAAAAATCCCTCACCTCAGCACAGCAAGTCCAACTTTATAAGTTTTTCCGTATGCCAGCTGTTTCTATCGTGCATTGTGCTGACACATCCAGTGGTCAGGAAGTACAAGGTAATTAGGAAAGTAAACCAGCAAGGAAAAAAAGGGAGCCACCTTTGTAAAACTAGGGCTCCATATGGAATTGCAATTTTGACAATCCATCAAATGATTGTGACCTACAGTAAGTCTTCCCCAGTTGGTTACATGGACGTGAAAGTGTTCACCATCTTCCTGGCTGGGTGAAATTACTACTACTGGCATGACTTATGTGAGGAATGCAATAGGAAGAGTGAGCCATGTACATGTATGTACGTGTTTTTGTATAAAAATGAACAATTATCCTTTAAAACCGAATTCCCAGCACTGTACGGGACAGTATGTACATGCCTGTGTTTTGAGTCTAGTCAGCATTTGCACATGTGAATGAGTACTGTCAATTCTTGGCCTAACTACATGTACATGAACCAGTACATGTAAGTTCAACATGTTCAAGGGACCAGATCCATTTCTCTGTTACCACCAGGACTTTTGTTATATGAGGAGTAGAAAAACAAAACTAGAATTCAAGAAATTGGGATTCTCGGGACTTGTTGTTTGTAATGTTCAGAACATGCGCATGTTCATGTAATGTATATTGTCATAACTGTTTTCTTGATAGCAAAAGTTGTCTTCACATGTACATGTAAAACATGAAGCATGAGTGTACATGTATGTATTAAAAAAGTAACTTGGCAAAAGATAATAATCTGTTTCCTGTTTTTGGTTGTAAATATTAATAGAAACAAATTCCAAAAAAGGAAAATGAATCTGTTTCCTGCTATTGGTTGTAGTGGAAATGTGGTCATGCCAAATTCGGCGGTGTTTAATTGAGGAAATTAATTTCTTACAAGTTGCCGGTATCGGCACTGGGTATTGAGTAACGCTGCTAGTAACAGCATTGAAACTCAATGAATACACACAGTAAATCATTGCTCATTCATGTATACATATGTACATGTAGGTAAATGTACAATTTTGTCAATAAGTATTTATTGGAAAAGGCATTGGCACGCACACCACAGTATGCACTTTGTGTCGTTTATTGGCATTTAGCGGTATACTTTAGCAAATTTCACTAATAGAATATATGTTTCTTTCCTTGTACGTGTATTTTTCTTCAGATCATGGCTGTGAAATGACAAGAAACTCACTCTGGAGAATAACTGACGTGCGTCGTTTGGGAGAAGTTAGCTACCGAGCACGTCTGGGCTTCAACTGATGTCGCGCAGCCTGATGACTTTCATGTACTGTAGACAGGCAGAGTAAGACCTTGCATTGAATGCAAGTGAGAGAAATACCGAGATCCGAACAGTTCTCCCTGCACTGGCCCACTTGTGCAAAATACCGGCAGGCAATAGTCCCTCTATCTCCACCACGAGTCACTTTGGAGAGTCATAGATTCTTATATGTATATGTTCGTGGAATCTTCCATCAACTTTGGAATGCTTCAGAATCGAAACTTAGCTTCGTCACCCTCTTGTGTTATTTGTAAAGCTCTTTAACTTTCTTACACTGACTCTTTGCAAAGTGCAGAACCTTGTGAATATGGTTCCTGTCAGACAACTTGTGTAAAGGACCCTGTGGTAGGTGAATCACCTCAGTGAACGGGGCTTTCTATAATCCCAGCTACACTCCATTGAACTGACCATGTCGAAGAAACCTGTGGAACGCGTCTTCCACATTGCGGTGGTGGGCCTGTCTGGTGACGAGCGCACCAAAGGTGCGGCCGGCGTGGGGAAGTCCTGCCTCTGCAACCGCTTTGTCCGGCCCCACGCCGACCACTTCTACAAGGACCACATCTCCATCATCAGTCAGATTGACTTCAGCGGCCAGGTCATCAACAACGACCACTTCCTCTACTGGGGGGAGGTGACCAAGAACCTGGACGACGGGTCACAGGTGACCTGCAGCGTCGTGGAGCTGACCGAGTTCATTGATGACCAGTCTTTTCAACCCCTAAGAGGCCATGGCGACAAAGATTACAGGAAGAGGTGTAAGACGAGCCTCACATCAGCTGAGAAACTCATGTATATTTGTAAAGACCAGCTTGGTAAGTACATACATGTACTATAAGGGAAGTTAAAATCAATTTCCAGGTTGACATCAGCAAAACAGAATTTTTATGGGGGAAATATTATACTCATCATTCTATAAACTTTGGGTCCGATGTATGACATTTTCTGTCCTTGCTAAACCTGACCTGTGTAATCCACCAGGGATATACATGTATCATTGAAATCGACTCCAAAATATTGTTTTTCGTTTAGCAGATTATTAACATTACTCAGTCGCTCTCCGAATTAACAAAATGTCTTCCAAACTTTCAGATGCAACAGGTACAGGAAAAGGTCGGAGTCCAAATTTTAAAGAACAACTGGCATGAAATAAGGGTGATTCACAGTGAAGTGCGCCACCAAGAGGTCGCCATGAAGAGACCACGTTTCAAGTTTGCCATTTACTTGCTGTGATTTGCATTTTGAGTGAATGTCAACTTGAGGAAATGTTTGATAGAAGGGCATTCCGGGCCTCACAAAACTCATCCTGACTATCCAACCAACACTGATACTCAAATTAAGAAACCCCCAAACAAAAAACAAAATCTACATTGGTTTAACGAAGGAGGGGGGGGGAGCATGGGATGTGTCCCCCTTCAAGGTCTGTCAGAGTAACGGAGTATTGTAGGACATTCCTTTCACTGCACACTTACATGTACATGTACATGTAATTGTATTGTATACATGTACATGTGCATTTATGGCCGCACTCATAGTGTCATATACAATCTACTTGGACAATTTATGTGCATGTACATGTACCATACATGTGTGTGGTACATGTACATGTACGTGTAACAGTAATGTGCATTATGAACATCATTTCCTTGTTTTTCCTACATGTCAAACTAAACAGGGACCTGTGAATAAACCGGGATGCTGTCTGGAGAGTGTTGTAGACTTGTTTTTAGCATGGACACAAAATTCCAGCCTTTTCCGTTTGCAGTGTACATGTACATGTACATGTACCAGTGCACATGTACATGTGTGAGTTTAGTTAATTGTCAACATTGTGTTACATGTACATGTGCACTGAATGCAACCAACGAACCTTTTGCTACAAGATTTGGACAGCATTCGTGTAGAAATGCTTTTCAGCATTGATCTTTGTGGGAGCACCTTGGAGACAACGGTGATGAAACCTCACAGCCCAACCCCCTCGTCCCTATGAACGTGTACATTGTATCTGGAGACAGACACCTGCTAGCGAGGGAAGACGTTAATATTAAAAGAAATGTGGAAAACATCTGGGTGTGGGGATTTGGGCCCATTAGCCCTGATTTATTGGGGAAATGAAATGAACATACCGCAGTGAATGAAATCAGTGTTGCGGGACATTGGTTAGTCGTTTACTACCATGCAGGGATGTTGCCTCTTATAATGAAACTTATAGTACATGTATACATAAAGTACACGCATAGTGTACATGCTCATCCACATGTTTGCACATATATGTACATATGTGTATATGTACATGAACCGGTAACTTCAGGCAGTGTACCCGTGGACATCCCTTTGTCTTCAACATAAAAGCACAACTTGGGTGCATGGAGAAATTTTGCATTTATTTTGTATGATTCAACAGGTGCATGTACATGTTTGCACGTGTACATGTTTAATTTCCATACAGGCCATAAAGCATTGTTTAAATCAGACACATGTACACGTATTTTATTTCAGATTTAATTTCAGGCTCATTTCCTTCTTCATTATACTTGTACCAGTACATGTAAGTGTGGACTTTCAGAGGTGGACATTTAAATTCATATTGTAAATATCTTCGTTGATGGTGTACATTTTGTTTCGTGTTTATTTTTATGTTTGTAGGAGATGAACGAAACTATGACAGAAAGATTATGGCGGATGGGAAGTTTGTAGTGGACGGTTTTATCGTCGTCTACGATGTCAGCCACGTTCAGAACCGCCCACTGAACAAGCAGTCCTCGTTCATCACGGAGCTCCTCTCTTCTCCGCTGCAGAAGTCCAAGAAGCCGTGCGTGCTGGTGGCGACAAAGTGTGAGGAGCCGGAGAGCACAGCCTACGAGGAGGTCAAGGCCATCCGCGACAAGAAGAAAGTCACACTGGTGGAGACGTCGGCGTTCGAGAACGTCAACGTGGACTTCGCCTTCCTGACCCTGGTCAACCTGATCGACAAGAACAAGAAGCGGCCGATGGAGGTGCCCTTCGTCAACGGCATCAAGAAGCAGAAGGAGGTCCTGGACAAGGTGGAGGACGCCTACATGGGGCTGCTTGCCCGCTCCGTCACCGACTACCACGCCGTCTGGAACCGCACCAAGAAGGAGCTTGCCGACGAGGACAACTACCTGACCTACCTGCGCTATATTGGCTCGGAGATCGCCGCCAAGAAGTTCAAGAGCCACATCAAGAAGTTGAAGGAGGCCCAGCAGCAGCGGAAGAAGCAGCAGTGCCTGGAGACCCTGCCGCTAGCCCTCCAAGACATGCTCCCAGATCTGCAAAGCATCGGCGGAAGGTCCGTGTACAAATTTAACGCATGGAAGGGGGGGGAGTACAACATCGCTACAGGGCAAAGCTCTTTGAGACCTAGGAATAAATGAGCAACGTATTGCTGGGCATCGGTCCTTCGAGTCACAGAACAGATGTTCCTCACAAGGTCTTAAACATGTATATCATAACTGTGCTCTGATTGGCAGATTGGGGGGGTGTCATTTTTGGGGGGAGAGGAATAACGAGTTTATTGATAATGATTTCATTTGGTGTATTTCATTTCACTTCCTTACCAAAACATGTCAACTGTCCCAAAATGTAGCCCCACCCCTTAGAAAGGCCATAGAAGGTCACTTACAAAAGGGACAATTGTTCGCACCCCCCCAAAAAACCTTTAATCCCCTCCCAGTATGCCCTCCCCCGTCCATGAGAAAAAAAATGGTTCCTGATCAGCACTTACGTGCTCACAGACTGACAGTAACCCATAGAGCCTGCAGAAGTGACATGAAAGAGATGTTTCAAGGATGGATTTGTGCCGGGAAAATGTAAATTGATTTTGGAGTTTCGCCCTGCCCAACGTGTATTTTAACACTGTGTACTCAGTGTATGCCCCCCAAAGGCTTATGGAAAAAACCACAAGCGTACTTGGGTGGGGCTCGAACCCATGACCTGCTCACTAGTGCAGACGTCTTAACTACTGGACCACCGAGCTTGCTGGTGTCGGCTGGCTGGTTCCAATCAGATGTAGCAGCGGATACGAACAACTATTTCAAGGATGCCACAAGCCTTCGGGGGCATACACCGAGTATACAGTTTTAAAATACACGTCGGGCAGGGCCAAAAAAAAAAAATTTCAAAATCAATGAAAGATATGATCGCAGTCTAACATTTTGTCCACTTCTGTACCAGCAATAACTTGTGTTGTTGGGACACATTCAAGGCTGACTTTCAGCAAAAATCACTTGAAGGTTCTGTGCAACACAGCACTTGAATTGTACCCTCGTGTTTCCAGTAATCTGGGGCCAATTTCATAGAGCTGCTTAAGCACAGAATTTGCTTAAGCGTGAAAAAACCTTCCTTGGTAAATAAGGTTACCAGCCAAAATTCCATGGATGTATATGTATATTGTTTTGGCATGGTATTCACCTGTCTTTTGGTTAGCAGGACAATCACATAGATATTGAGCTAGTAACCTTTGTTTTTTTAAGCAAGGTTCTTTTGCGCTTAAGCAAATTTTGTGCTTAAGCAGCCCCTGGTTCTTAATTTTCGGTTTGTTATTTTATGGGGTATTTAGTGCTTCTTCACTTTTTGCACTCATGAGGATGTCCGTATTTATGGTGTGATCTCATCCTAGGAAGAAATCAAATGCTTGACTTTCCTCCATTTCGCAGGCTGAAATTTCATTTATTTTTGATGACTCATGTATATAAAACATGTACTTGTAAACAGCCAAAACCAAGTAGCAACTCTTTCTTTGAATTGCTTTTAATTCTATTTTTACAATTTTAAGAGAAATATCAAAGTA